GCCCCTTCCCAGCAGGGATTATCCCAATATCCCAAATAAACCTCCCCCGAGGCCGTTTCCTCCTCTCGGGGAGTTCTGGAGACCCAGAAGGTCCCCCCTGATCCCCCTTTTCTCCCTCAGGAGTTCTCCAGCCCCTTTCCCAGCACACAAAATCAATCCCTTTTATCCCGTTTCCACATTAAATTTCCACACATTCCAGCGGCTCCTACCTCTTCATCTGAGCTGTCGTCCTCGTACTCGTTCTGGGGAAGCAGATCCTCCTTTCCCTCCGATGGGGAATCATCCTCCAGGGATTTTCTCTTCCTGGGAATCCCTTTGGCCTGAAAATAAAGAGGGAAAAAAAAAGCAGCTTGGTGAGATTCCCACCAGGAGACTCTGGGAATGTTTGGTTCGACACATCCCAGAGCTCGGCTGGGCAGGGAAAGGAAAGGGAAGGAAAGAGGAAAGGAAAAGAAAGGGAGGAAAAGGAAAGGAGAAGGGAAAGGGGAAAGGGAGGAATCTCCCAAGCTGCAGGGATCGGTGGGATGGGAATGGGAGCTTCCCTGGAGCTCCACTCAGACAGGAACAGCCAAGGATGAGGAGCCAGCACAGCTCCAGAATCCACACAAACTCAGATCCGTGGAAAACAGACCCGGAAAGGACCTTCTGGAGACCCCCAATCCAACCTCCTGCTCCCGGCAGAGCTTGACTCCAGCCTGGATCGGGATAGTTGGGATCCTCCTTGGATCCCAATCCCGCTTGGCTGCGTTGGGAGTGTTTTCCAGGACAGAGGTGTCCTGACCTCCCTGGATCTCATCCCATGGGAAAGAACACGCCTTCCCTAGGGAGAATTTTCCCGGCTGTGCCTCGTCCCTGTTGCCTGTGATCCCATCCCACGGGATGGCAGCTGAGACCCCCCTGCAGAGCTGCCTCCAGCTCTGGGGTCCGACATTCCTGAAGGATGTGGAGCTGCTGGAGTGAATCCAGAGAAGACACGGAACTGCTTCCAGGGCTGGAGCCCCTCTGCTCTGGAGCCAGGCTGGGAGAGCTGGGAATGTTCACCTGGAGAAGGGAAGGATCCAGGGAAACCTTGGAGTCCCTTCCAGAGCTCCAGGAGAGCTGGAGAGGGACTGGGGCCAAGGGATGGAGGGACAGCACACAGGGAATGGCTTCCCAGGGTTAGGTGGGATATTGGGAAGGAATTCCTGGCTGGGAGGGTGGGGAGGGGCTGGCATGGAATTCCCAGAGAAGCTGTGGCTGTCCCATCCCTGGAAGTGTCCCAGGCCAGGTTGGATCACCCTGGGATAGTGGGAGGTGTCCCTGCCTGTGGCAGGGGTGGCACTGGATGATTCTCAAGTCCCTTCCCACCCAAACCATTCCAAGATTCCACGACTCCAGAGCCGCCAGCCAAAGAGTTTGGGACTGGATAAAGCCCCACAGTGACCTCCCCCTTCCTGATCCAGAGGCACTGCTGGCTCTGGAAGCACATTTGGATCCAGCCCATCCCTCTCCGAGGGCACCCGGATGAGGCCGGGGCAGGATCCTGGTGCAGACAGGGAGATTCCCACCATCCCGGATTCCCCACCGGGAGCCACAGGAGCCCATCTTGGCCTCTATCCCTTGGATCATCCCAAGCTTTTTTCCTCCTGGAGGAGCTCCTGCTGTGCAGGGACAACCCTGGGATCCCTGGGGAGGGAACCGATTCCCGGCTGGGACAGGGATAACCATGGGGGTGCCCGGCCAGCCCCGGCTGCTTCCCTGGAAAAGCCATTCCGGGAGCAGGGAGGTGGAAAGGGGTGGGTGGGGGGGAGCAGGGCCCTGCGGGGTCGGGTTTACGGGGAGGATTCTTTGGGATAATCGGAAAAGCAGCGGCGGCGTCTCTCCCTCCGTCCCCAGGGGGAGCCGCTGGGTGTGCGATCCCCTCCCGGTTCCCTCCTCTCCCGCCTCCTCTCCGAGCGGCTCCCGGGCCTGGAAAATCCCGGCCCGCCAAGGGGATGGGATTACCGAGAAAACAAAGGCCTTTATTAAAAAAAAAAAGGGGGAAAAGGAGAGGGGGGGCAGGTGGCGAGATAAGTTTTTTTCCAGGCTTTTGGCTCCACGCGAGAGGCCTTCGGAGCTTGAGTTTCCATCCTTCCGTGCCTGGGTTCCCCCCTCCCCTCTCTCTCTCTCTCCCTCTCCCTCTCTCCGGGCTGGAAGTGCCCTCGGAGCCTCCCCAGCGCTCCCAGTTTGCTCCCAGTAATGCTCAGCCTCCCAGTCTGGCAGGCAAGGGGGGAACCAGCACCCCCCCGGGCGGGATTCCTGCGGGAGAACCCCCCTGGAACGGCAGACTCGGCACCCCGGGATTGGGAATGTGACCCCCGGGAAGGTCCAAACCCTTCCCAAAAGCTTCTCCGGGGAATTATTAGGACGGAGCTCAGGTGGGACGTTCCTCACTAGAACACCTGGAGAGAGCCTGGGAAGCACTGAGCACACCCCCCCCACTTTTCCCAAAATCCACTTTTCCCCCCCAAAAAAAATCTGCTGGAAGCCGACGGGGAACTCCGGGATAAGGGAAAGGCACCAGGGTGGGTTTGGGGGTCCCAGCCAGGAGGGCAGGGCCAGGCTGGACCCTCTTGGCTTTGCAGAGGCTGGATGGGAACAGCGTGTCGGGAACAGCGCCGGGAAAAGTTGGGAATAACGGGGAGGCTCCACTCGTTCCACCAGAGGGCGGAAGAAACGCTGGATGCGCCAAATCCCGGCAAATCTCCCCAAAACCTGCCCTCCCCCGGCGGCTGCCGCCTGGAATCAGGGCTGAGGAGCCTCCTGGGAATCCCTGGAGAGGGGGGATCCAACCCAGGGACCCAACTCCAGCAGTTCACAGGGAGCAGGGAATGGGATTGATCCAAACTGAAGCTCAGACCGGAGAAGGGAAAAGGAGAGGGAATGGGCTGAGCTGCACCAGCTCCCGGGGCCCTGCCCGGGCTGAGGGAACAGCTTCCCAGATCCCCAGCTTCCCAAATTCCCAGCCTCCCGGATCCTCAACTTCCCAGATCCTCAGCTTCCCAGCTTCCCAGATCCCCAGCTTCCCAGATTCCCAGCTTCCCAGATTCCCAGCTTCCCGGATTCCCAGCTTCCCGGATTCCCAGCTTCCCAGATCCCCAGATTCCCAGCTTCCCAGATCCTCAACTTCCCAGATCCCCAGCTTCCCAGCTTCTCGAATCCCCAGCTTCCCAGCTTCCCAGATCCCCAGCTTCCCAGATCCTCAACTTCCCAGATCCCCAGCTTCCCAGATCCCCAGCTTCCCAGATCCCCAGCTTCCCGGATCTTCAACTCCCAGATCCCCAGATCCCCAGCTTCCCGGATCCTCAACTTCCCTGATCCCCAGCTTCCCGGATCCCCAGATCCCCAGCTTCCCAGATCCCCAGCTTCCCAGATCCCAGCTTCCTGTATCCACAGCTTCCCAGATCCTCAACTTCCCAGCTTCCCAGATCCCCAGATCCCCAGCTTCCCGGATCTTCAACTTCCCAGATCCCCAGCTTCCCAGATCCTCAACTTCCCAGCTTCCCAGATCCTCAACTTCCCAGATCCTCAACTTCCCAGATCCTCAACTTCCCAGATCCTCAACTTCCCAAATCCCCAGATTCCCAGATCCTCAACTTCCCAGCTTCCCAGATCCCAGCTTCCCAGATCCCCAGCTTCCTGGATCCTCAACTTCCCGGATCCTCAACTTCCCGGATTCCCAGCTTACCCAGATCCTCAACTTCCCGGATCCTCAACTTCCCGGAT